TACTATGGTTCCCTTTTATTCCACTCTTAGAGGACTGTCTTACAACAGTTGATTATTACTTCCTTTCTCCTACTAAGTTATATGTACTTGAATTTCCAGTAATTTTTATCTTTGATTTTATACTAGCTGTTTTCTCAATATAAATGCAAGAATACCTAGCTTATAATCCCATTTAAAACATTTTTGTTTTTGAACATACCTTTGTTGTTTTTGTAAAACTAGCATGTAGTCACTATATCTGTTATTAAGAATTTGGGGGGGAGGGGCGCCTGGGTGGCTCAGACGGTTAAGTGTCTGCCTTCGGCTCAGGTCATGATCCCAGGGTCCTGGGATCGAGCCCCACATCGGGCTCCTGGCTCAGCGGGGAGCCCGCTTCTCCCCCTCCCTCTGCCTTTCTCCCTGCTCATGCTCTCTCTCTCTCTCTATCTCTGTGTCTCAGATGAATAAATAAAATCTTTAAAAAAAAATTTTAAATAAAAGAATTTGGGGGGGAGGCATCTGAGTGGTACAGTTTGTCAAGTGGCTCTTGGTTTCAGCTTAGGTCATGATTCCAGGGTCCTGGAATCAAGCCCCAAGTAGGGCTCTGCACTCAGTGTGGAGTCTGCTTGGGATTCACTTTCTGCCTCTCCCTCTGCCCGTCCCTCCACCTCATTCGCGTGCACTCTCTCTCAAATAAATAAACCTTAAAAAAAAATTTTTTTTAAGATAAGAGTAAGTTACCTGAGATTCCACTGCTTTGCCAGTATTTTGCCAACACTTTCAACATTTTAGTGAATATCCTTCTAGGCATCTCTATGCATATATGTACATGAAGATATGTATTCAATCTTACATAATTGCAATCATAGAATACAAGAATACAGTTGTTTTGTAATGTACTTTTTTTCACTCGACAACATGTGGTAGACATGTTTCCTGTCAATAAATAAAAGTCTTATTAATGGCTGTACCATTTTCCCATATGATTTACAGTCTGTCTTTTATTATTTGATATTTGGGTTCTTTCCAATTTAGGGCTCCTACAAACAATGATAGAACACCATGATGCATACATATGTCTTTTTTAAAATTTTTTTTTAAAAGATTTTATTTGGGGCGCCTGGGTGGCTCAGTTGGTTAAGCGACTGCCTTCGGCTCGGGTCATGATTCTGGAGTCGCGGGATCGAGTCCCGCATCGGGCTCCCCGCTCAGCAGGGAGTCTGCTTCTCCCTCTGACCCTCTTCCCTCTCGTGCTCTCTCTTTCTCTCTCTCTCAAATGAATAAATAAAATCTTAAAAAAAAAAAAAACAAAACAAAACTTAAAAGATTTTATTTGGGAGAAAGAGCATGAGTGGGGGGAGGGGCCAAGGGAGAGGGACTGGCAGACTCTCCGCTGAGCACAAAGCCTGACATGGGGCTTGATCCCATCACCCAGGCGCCCCATATGCATATGTCTTTTATTAATACTTGTGAACTTTTATTTGCAGAATAAACTGTTAGACTTTGGATTGATGGGACAAGGGGATATATACATTTTGCACTTTGACACATATTGCTAAATTGCCCTACTGAAAGTTGAACCATGCTCTAGCCTAGTTTCAGATTCCCAATGTCATAGTTAGGAATCCTGATGGCAGTCCATCAATCCAATCAGCACAAGTTTTCTTATTTTGAAAAATATCTCAATTTAATTTATGAATTCCTTCAGAACTCTTGGGTAAATATCTCTGATCCCAGTGATGTATATTCCTAGGCAATTGCATCTGCTATCTAGAGCACTGATGATTTGGGCAATGCAGTTGTAGATGGGATTTAAATGACAACCTAAGAAATTATTTTGTTTGTTTGTTTTTTAAAGATTTTATTTATTTGAGAGAGAAAGCAGAAGCAGGGGTAGGGGCAGAGGGAGAGGGAGAAGCAGGCTCCCCACTGAGCAGGGAGCCTGAGGTGGGACTCGATCTCAGGACCCTGGGATCATGACATGAGCCAATTGCAGACACTTAACTGACTGAGCCACCCAGGCGCCCCAACCTAAGGAATCATTAATTAACCTTTTATTTTTCAGAAGATCAATACTATCTTCTCCAACCAACCCCTTGAACTGAATTGAGATTGGTGACCTTGTTATAACATCAGCTACTAGCTATGTAATCTTGGGCAAAATACTTAACCTCTGCATACATCAGTTTTTTTTTTTTTTACAGGGAAATAGGCCAGGCACCTGGGTGACTCAGTTAAGCGACTGTCTTCAGCTCAGGTCATGATCCCAGGGTCCTGGGTTGGAGCCCCAGGTCAGGCTCTCTGCTCAGCAGGGAGCCTGCTTCTCCCTCTGCCACTCCCCCTTGTGCTCGCTCTATGTTAAATAAATAAAATCTTTAAAAAAAGAAAGAGGGGCACCTGGGTGGCTCAGTCATTGGGTGTCTGCCTTCAGCTCGGGTCATGATCCCGGGATCCTGGGATCAAGCCCCACATCGGGCTCCCTGCTCAGGTGGGAAGCCTGCTTCTCCCTCTCCCACTCCCCCTGCTCGTGTTCCTGCTCTCACTGTCTCTCTCTCTGTCAAATAAATAAAATCTTAAAAAAATAAATAAAAATAAATAAACAGGCCAGTGATTTCTTTTTTTTTTAAAGATTTTATTTATTTATTTGAGAGAGAGATAATGAGAGATAGAGAACACGAGAGGGAAGAGGGTCAGAGGGAGAAGCAGACTCCCCGCTGAGCAGGGAGCCCGATGCGGGACTTGATCCCAGGACTCCAGGATCACGACCTGAGCCGAAGGCAGTCGCCTAACCAACTGAACCACCCAGGCGCCCAGGCCAGTGATTTCTGATACACTTTCTTTTTTAACATTTTCCTCCCTATGATAATTGACTGTACTAAATTCCATTCTTGGTTTAAATAATGCCTTATTAACTTTGGTGGCTCTTGAAAAGTTGACTCCTTCATCCTGGTTGACTTCTCTGGTCATATTGGTATAATTAAAAAAAAAAAAGCTATTCTATTATCATTGCTTGCCTGTTCTTGCATTAGTTTTAATTTTTCTTGGGCCTCCAATAACCTGCTTGGTTACTTATTTTGATAGTTATGTATACTTTTCCCAAATTTGTTGGTGATATTTTAGAGAAAAATGTTTTAACTTCTGACAGTGCTTTACTTATATAGGATACTTTTAATGCTTTCATTTGACTTCATTAGATCCTCAGAATGCCCCTGTGAGGTTAGATACTATTATCCTCATTTTACAGATGTAGAAACAGAGGCTTAAAATAAGTAATATGCTCAAAGTCACTCAGCTTGTAAATGGTATAGCTGTTATCTATGGGGTCTAAGTTCAGAGCTCTATCTACTAAGCCACAGTTACCTCTATATTTGAAGGTTAAATATTCTTAGTTACATAGATTTTTTCCAGGTAATATTTATCATATACATGTGTTTATTCCCATCATAAATAGTAGTCGTTGAATTTAGATAAAAGTTGCTATCAGGTGAGATTTTGGTAAAGGGAAGCAGAACCATGCCATCAGCTGATCTATAGTATATAATTTGACAGCCCTACCTAACCAGATACTTTCCTTAATTCCTAACAAGGCAATATTTTTCAACTCATGAGTTTCCTTAAAATGTTTTAATTTAAAAAGTGTGGTTATATTTGGGTATTTTTATACTTAGTTCTTTTTCTTCTATAAAGGCTTTAACATTTCTCTGGATATTTTGATATTAGATCAAGAAATAGACTTACTGTGGTGGTAAACTGATGCAAAAGTCTTTTTCAGCTACTTAAAAAAATTTTTTTTATTCATTTTTATTTTAGAGAGCACACAAGCAGGGGAAAGAGCAGAGCGGGAGAGAGAGGGAGGGGGGGAAGAATCCCAAGCCGACTTGTGCTGAGATCGGAACCCAATTCGGGGCTCTAGCCCACAACCCTGAGATCACAAACTGAGCTGAAACCAACAGTCCAATGCTCAACCCACTGAACTACCCAGGTGCCCCCTTTTCAGCTACTTTTTTTTTTAAATTTAATGTAGGCCACCGTTTTCTAGAATCTTCATTGGAAAGAGAACTTCAACTATCTATTTTGACCTCAGACTTTTCTACTTAAGTTCTTTCCAGTTTATCTCTTAACTCAGGCAAAAGATCTGGCAGGCAAAGCATAACCTGATGGGAACTGAAACTACCCCCTTAAGCAATAGAGCCTGCCCTGAACCTGCAAGACCCCACCCATGATTGACTTTAAGACAGTGATCAGCTTGACCTTCACTGCCCTCCTCCTGCATGTAGCCAGCCACCTTTGTCCCACATTTTCCTTATGTAAACCTGGAAGTATGGATGAAAGGAAAACTAGTTGGGCCTTCTGGGATTTAGTTTCCTATCTAAGACTTTTAAGTAATAACCTATAACCTTGTTAACGTTTTCTTATTGTAAGTAGACTTGCAAGTCAACAAATATTTCTTGACTGCCTTTCCTGTACAAGGCGTGGGATCTCATTTCTCAGTGAAATGAGAAAGGAGACTGCCCCTCAAATATTTGACTGATAAACTAGTACCTCTTATGGTTATGTGTAACAACAGGGAAAACTCTATCTTGGCTAGACAAATGGATGGGTTTATAATTTGTTTTAGCAAGCTTTAACTCCTCCATTGGTAACAGTTCTTTGCAATTCCTAGAGTAGCGGCTAAGATGTGCCTGGAATCTCTCCTTTTTTGATGCAGATTTTCTAATTATGTCAGGCCTTCCTGAATTCAGGCTATCTTTTAATAGCCTTTTCTGCCTGAGTGATGGCGAAGGCACTGGCAGGTTTCCAAGCTCTCGCCTCAGTTTGGAGCTTTCCTGAAGTGCGGCGAGTTCTATCACAGAGCTAGGTAACAAACGCTCACTACCCGACCACTGCAGGCTCCTACCCAGCAGCCAGAGCGCGCCTGCGTACCGCAGCCCCTTTGTTGCTCAGACGCTTGGGATCTGGCTGCGCCTGCGTGGAGGGCTGGCGCCCACAAGTGCGCTGCACCGCTGGCACCGGCTGGGGGCGAGCAGACCTCGAGCAGCTGCCGCAGCCGCCGCAGCCGTTGCGACCGCAGCAGCGGAGTTCACAGGGCCCGGAGGTGGGAGATTTCCCATACGGTGGCTGAGATGTCGTCCACCGCGGCTTTTTACCTTCTCTCCACCCTGGGAGGGTACTTGGTGACCTCATTCTTGTTGCTCAAATACCCGACCTTGCTGCACCCGAGAAAGAAGCAGCGATTCCTCAGTAAACACATCTCCCACCGCGGAGGTGAGAGGGGTACCCAGATCCCGATGGCGGAGGTGGGGGAGGCTTTTTCCCCCACTAGAGCTTTGGGTCCTTTAGAGCTCTGCAAAAGGCTGGCGGGTGGAAATGGCGTGAGAGTTTGAGGAAGAACGGGGTGTGCGAAAGCGGGCTCCTTGGAGGTGAAGGCGATGCGAAGGGGAGGTCTCCTGAGGGAAGATAATGGGTCTTGAGACAGAGCCATGGTGGAGATCTGTGGAGTGCAGCGGTGTCAGGTGTTCTCTGAAGGAGGAAGGACTGGGGTGAGAATGAAGGGTAGATGGAGCGTTTCTCGGCAAATGGAAGGATGATCGCAAGGTCCCTTCCTGGCAGCGAGACACAAGGCGGGTGGGGGGGTGCGCAGAGCCGGGGTACCCTGCGGGCGAACGGGAACGGACTGCTCTGAGCGGAACCAGTGGCTGAGCTTGTAGGGAGATCCAGGGCGACAAGCTTCGAGGTTTGAGGAACTGCGAACCTAGAGCGTGCTGTAGCCTGGTTGTCTGCAGTCCCTGGGGACTGGTTCCTACCCTCCCCCCCACCCCTGTCTCCCTCTCTGAGCACTGAGAATTAAGAAGAGGGAAACCTAGTCACTGACCTGGGGACACTTCCCAAGGTCACAGTTAGTCTTGGGCTGGACTGGGACAGAAATTGGAGCGTCCTGGTTACCAAGGCAGCAAACCTTCCACCTGCTCTTTTTTTTTTCCAGCCCCACATTGCACCCCGGCAATGACACCTGGATTTCCTAAAGACAAAAAGATGATGTAGTTTATGACAGGACTGTATTGTTTAAAGAAAACAAGGAAGTTTTTTCTTGGAAAAGCATCTTACTAAAAGGAGCCTAGGTGGTCCACCCTGTAATTTCCCAAACAGCAGGCCAAATGTTTGCCTCTTCTTTATCTCAGAATAATGAGTCTTTATTTCATTTCAAGCATGATGTATAAAATGCTGTGAAATTGGATTAAGTCAATCAGTTTTAATTATTCTTTACAGATGAATGTTAAACTGGGTTAAAACTGCTTTACAGTTTTACAGTCTAATACTTGAAATGGTAAATTCTAGTAGTTTACAGTTTAAAACTTTATTTAGTACCATAACCCCCTTTCTAACAAGAATTGGCCAGGAATACAGTTTTTTAAAATATAACAGAAATACATTAGTATTCTTCTGTATAATCTGTACAATTTTGTTAAACATAGTTCTAAAGAGTGACTTCAATAGATGCTAGTCTCCTTACTCATGAAAAGCATCAAAGGTTTTAAGGGGTCACCAGCTAAGTGCCATGTAAATGCTTATTTGGTTTAATTAGATATACAGTGGGTTTTTTTGTTAAGTTTACTTACTTATTTAAGTAATCTCTGCACCCAACATGGGGCCTGAACTCACCACCCTGAGATCAACAGTTGCACACTCTTCTGACTGAGCCAGCCAACACAGCCACCCTGTGTTTACTGATTTTAAAAAAAGAAAAATGTGCTTACTAAAAACCCAAACCAAAACAAAACTAGATCCTCTAAAAAGCTATCTAAACTGTCATTGTGGGTGATCTAAATTTTATTTTAGAAGAAATACATGTTAATTTTTGAATTTTTGTGACACTCTACAGGTGAAAAAACCAGTATTCCATAGAGGTTAAAAAATGTGTGCTAAATCAATGTAGCCGATATCAAAACCAGGATAAGCTGATCTCCAGTTCTCACTTACTGTCAGAAATACTTTAAAAATATTTTTCCCTAGATATAAAGTCATTTTCGGTTGTTTCAGTTTCACTCCTTATATAAAAAATTTCCATTTGTTATTTGCAAATATGGGATCAGTATTTGTATATTCAAACTGCAGCTGTCATGAGAATCTTGTTAAATATCTGCAGACTTAAATCTTATTTACTTGTATGATGGTCCTAATGCACTGTAGTAAGTTCCTATGTTGTTAGTGCTTAATATGCTTTTGTTGAGTATGTGCACCAAATAATACAATTAAATCCAGAGTGATAGAGGAGATATTTACTAAAAAATACTTTGTAACTCAAGATACTAAGTTTCTGGAAAATAATAGTGGAGGAAGAAGTCACCTCCTTGATTATTTTTTATTTTTTAAAAAGATTTTATTTATTTATTTGACAGAGAGAGAGACAGTGAGAGAGGGAACACAAGCAGAGGGAGTGGGAGAGGGAGAAGCAGGCTTCCCACGGAGCAGGGAGCCCGATGCGGGGCCCGATCCCAGGACCCTGGGATCATGACCTGAGCCAAAGGCAGATGCTTAACCACTGAGCCACTCAGGCGCCCCTATTTTTTATTTTTGTCTTAGACACTGCCAACAGCAATCACTAGTCTCTCTGTGCATATTACTAACATTTAGGCTAATTCTCTATTTCCCTAACTTCAAATACCTGATTATTTCATGTAAACCGGATGTATGACCATTCCAAGACTGAAACATTGATCAATATATCTTATAAAGTACATGCACCAGCATTGCTGTAACTATATTATGGCCGCATTATCACCTGGGTTAGATTCTGAACCACTAGTTAGCCTTGAGGAGAAGACCTAGTTTCCTTATTTATAAATGGGGACTGTTTCCTTCTCTTTGGGTTGTTAGGAGGATAAGGTATATAAAATGCACTTTGAAAACTGAAAATTGTTTAGAAATATCTGCATGGATACAGGGATCTACATATGTGTTTTGTAGTAAAACTCTGAATTCATTGAGAAGAAATAAGATCACCATATAGTTAATGTTTTCAAAATTTGAATGAACATACTGCCTTTTACTAAGATTAATTGTCCTTGAAAGAGGAACTTAATGTTTCAAAAATTAAATGCTGTAGGTTTATTTTGTTCTTGCCTCTTTAGTGCATACATTGTATTACATTATATTATAATAGGATATGTAATACACCTGCCTCCCTTACTAGACTGAGTTTCTTAAGGGGGAGTTTCAGATTTTATTAATGCTTCTGTCTCTAGCTTCTAGTGCAGATCCTAACATAATTAAAATAATAAATTATTTTCTGCTAATTACTGCACGCTAGATCCCTCCCATGTGTTTCCTAAGTTTATCTGACCAAAGAACACCTTTTATAACTACAATGTATTGATGGAACACCAATAAGATCAAAGATATCCTTTGGATCAAATGGAGAGCAAGCAGTACTCTCAAAGGCCATTTTCTTAATTTCTCTATGAAAGCATGAATTTTATTAATTTTCTTTTCAATTGCATAAGTAACTCATGTTCATTGTAGAAATTTGGAAAATATAGAAATGAAAAAAGAAAAAATAGTTCCTAAAACTTTACTATCCAGACATAATGTGTTAACATTTTGAAGTATATCCTTTAAAAACCTATTTTCTGGTATTTGGAATCCAATAGTGTATATAAAGATTTTATCTATCTATCTATCTATCTATCTATCTATCTATCTATCTATCTATCTATCAATTTATGACAGAGAGAGCATGAGCAGGGGCGAGGGTCAGAGGCAGGCGCCTTGCTGAGCCAGGGGGCCTGAAGCTGGGCTCGATCCCAGGGCCCTGGGATCATGACCGGAGCCAAACGCAGATGCTTAACTGACTGAGCCACCCAGGTGTCTCCTGGAATCATAGTGTATATACATTTATTTCAGATGCCAACTGAGTTGGCTAGAGGTACAGTTGCAGGGAAATATGGAAATAACGTACTCTAATACTCTTTAATCTATCTGCATGAGCCAATTGAATTAAGCAACAGGCTTTTAAAAAAGAAGTCTATGTATTAGGGTTCAGTGGCCAACAAATAAAAAAAATCATCAACCCATGAAATCCCCCCTTCCCTCTTAATCTTTCATCCTTGATCTTGAGACAGAGTATTGTCACAATCTGGATATCCTGCCACAGAATGATTTGGAAAGTAATAAGTTTGAGGGTAAGTTTGCTGTCGGACACTGGCTGCTTCTGGGTCCTAAACTTTAATTGGATGTTCAAGGAGGAAATTGAAGCATCATTTTGAGTCTCAAAAGTGTCAGTGGAAGTGGCATTCTGCAGTTGGATCCTGAAACATGTTCCATGTCAGGGTATCAATTCTTTCTCTTCTTGTTCCCTCAGTCCTATTTTTAAGGAACTCTTCTCACTTTTCAATGAGGACTTTTTTCTTTTCTTTGCCTTTCTTTCTTTTTCTTCCTTTCTTTTTCTTCTTCTTCTTTTTTTTTTAGTAATCCCTACACCCAACATGGGGCTCAAACTTACAACCAAGAGATCAAGAGTCACATGCTCAGGGTGGCTCAGATGGTTAAGCATCTGCCTTTGACTCAGGTTATGATCCTGGGGTCCTGGGATTGAGTCCTGCATGGGGAGACTGCTTCTCCCTCTCTTTCTTCCTGCCGCTCCCCCACTGCTTGTGCTCTCTCTCTCTGTCAAGTAAATAAATAAAATCTTTATTTAAAAAAAAAAAGTCACATGCTCTTCTGACTGAGCCAGACAGGTGCCCTTTCAACAAGGACTTTTTCCTTATTCATTTCCTCAACTGATTCACTCATTCCTACCAATACCTTATTAGCAATGAAGTCATTTATCATTTATTTAATAGTACTTTCCTGCTTAAGAAAGCAAACTAAAATGTACTTAATTTCAGCAATGGCTAAAAGATATATATGTCTTAAATTGTATATAAATTTAGAAAAATTAAACATAAAAAATAACATTATAGAAAAATTATTGAAATTATGACCAGATACATAACAAAAACCACTTATCAATGAAGAGAGCATACATGTGGTAGTTAGTAAATGTTGCCTGGGTATCAGTATACAGTTTGAATATCCTTCTGTGCTATTGATGTGTGTAATTTTTTCTTATACCTATAAATACAGATTTCACCATTTTTTCCTTTTGAGATACAGAAATAAAGTGTGCAGTGTTCCAGGGAACTCATTTGGAGAAATGCTCTTGGTATATACCATCTCTACTCCTTACAAGCTCTTTTTGCTCTTATGTAAGTTGTGTATACTATTTCCAAGGCACACTGTAAATGTTGAATGAACAAATGAATTTAGAAATAAAGAAGAGGGCACCTGGGTGGCTCAGTTGGTTAAGGTCCCAACTCTTGATTTCAGATCATGAAGTCGTGATCTCAGAGTCGTGAGATTGATCCTCCTTGTTGGGCTCTGTGCTGGGCTTGGAGCCTACTGAAGATTCTCTCTCCCTCTCCCATTGCCCTCCTCCCTGCCTGTGTGCTCTCTCAAAAAAGGAAGGAAGGGAGGGAGGGAGGGAGGAAGGAAGGAAGGAAGGAAAAAAAAGAGGGAAGAAATGAAGAAGGAACTTACTTTATTGCTTGATTTACTGAAAAATTTCATTTTGAGTTGAGATAGGATCATATCTCAAACATTAGGATATGTTTTATTTGCACTAAGCTGTCTTTTCCAATATCAGAAAATATTTAATTTTGAAGGTTTCTTTGTGTGCGTGTGGCTGATGCATGTGGTCATATTTGTCATTGGTTTTATAAACATCGCACATTTATCATGTATACAAAGATGTTAATAATAGTGGTGGTTAGAGCACATATATAAAACAACTCTACAATGTTTATCGGTATATAAAACATTTGGGAGACAAAAAGAAAACTAAGCAGATATTTCTTTCCTTCACAGCATCTAAATCTAATTAAAGATAGAAAAGAGAATGTTTCCTTTACTTTTCCTGTCCTATCAGAAATTAACTGAACACGGGGCACATGGGTGGCAGAGTTGGTTAGGTGTCTGACTCTTGGTTTTGGCTCAGGGCGTGATCTCAGGATCATGAGACTGAGCCCCTTGTCAGGCTCTATGCCCAGCATGGAGTCTGCTTGAGATTCTCTCTCCCTCTCCCTCTGCCCCTCCCCCTGCTCTCTGGAAGGAAGGAAGGAAGGAAGGAAGGAAAGAAAGAGAGAAAGAAAGAAAGAGAAAGAAAGAAAGAAAAAAGAAGAAAGAGAAAGATTAACTGGTTACAAAGTAATTATGAAGCACTATATAAGAGAGAGAAAGTTAGTATAGAATGAAAACTTGGGAAGTATATAGTGAAGCTATAAATAAAGAAAATTGGGACTTTTCAGAGAAGGTTTTGTCAAGTGAAAAATGTGAACTGGAAGAGGGAGGCAGTATGATGTAAGCAGAGGAATTATAAACATTAGGACAGCATGTAAAATCTGACACTCATTCTCTTTCCCATTTCATAATTTAATAACTAATTAAAAATCAAACATTTGTTTATATGTTGGATGGTGATTTGCAAAGCCAGGCATTGTTTAAATTGATTATTGAAGGAGAAGGAAAATTAGTGGCAAGCATGCTTCTATAAATGATAACGATAACTGGAAAGAAAAGGAATTCAAATAATTTCATGAGACGAGCTACCACCAAATAATTCCTTGGAGAGGAATGGCATACTTTTTCATTAGTCCCTTAGTTACTCTCCAGGCTTTCACCATATGAATCTAACAGGTAATTTGTGGGTGTTATCATTGTAGAATTTATCTTCAAACTTTATAAACAAGAAGAATATGGGAATAAGGACCAATATGAATAACTTATCTGTAAAACTGAAATAAAGGCATTCTACGAATGGCAGCGTAGAAGCTGCCACATAGTGGTAAAAAGATGGGATCTGAAATCATATAGCTTATGCTTGAATCAGTTCCCCTCTTTGGCTATGTGACTGTACCCAACTTTTTTCTGGTTGTGGGGGTTTTAATGAAATGATATATAAAGTGCTAAGTACAGTGTGTAGCTTCTATTAATTATTAATATCTTGATTGTCTTTTCATTGTTTATTTAATACTGGCTACTAATTTCATAAATTTATATTTATGAATTTATGAAATTAATAAAATCAAAGATCTTAAGTAACAGTGTTTTCATGCTTAAACTGTTAGGTTTAAATGAATAACATAGTAGCACTCTTTATCCTTTTTGGTCATATTCTAGAGTGTTGAGCAGACTCCACGCTAGTGCGGAGCCTGACATGGGGCTTGATCTCACCACCCTGAGATCATGACCTGAGCTGAAATTTAAGAGTCAGAGGCTTAACTGACTGAGTCACCAAGGTGCCCCAACACCAACTAGATTTTTAAAAGTCATTTAACCGGGCTTCTGGGTGGCTTAGTTGGTTAAGTGTCGCCTTTGGCTTGGGTCATGATCCCGAAGTCCTGGGACTGAGCCCCAAATTGGGCTCCCTGCTTCACTGGGAGCCTGCTTCTCCCTCTGCCTGCTGCACCCCCCCCCTGTCAAGTAAATAAATAAAGAAACAGAAAAAGTCATTTAACCTAAAGAGCACTTTTTTTTTAAAAGAGCACTTACTTTGACAAAAGCTATAATCTTAGATTTACTTCATGTTTTCTATTGTGCAACAACTGTAAAACCTAAAATCAAAGTAGCTTTTTTCACATGGGTATTCTGTTCTCTCTACTAAACTATGGGACTCTAGAACATTCAGTTAATATATTCATTTCTTTATACTTTGTGTTTCTATTGATTATTAATTAGGTTGCCATAAAAGTAAAATCTAACAATATAAAAGAAGAAAATTTTAATACTCTCACAAATATGTCCAGATGGTATTGTATGTGAAACATTTTAATGCTAATACTCGAACAGTACCATAAACTTGAAGTGTTTCTTTTTGCTAAAAAGAAATTGGCTGTTTTTCTTAAGTATTTGGAAAAGTATTTCGTGTTTTTCCTGTACATCCCATTAATTATTTAGTAATACTGAAATCTTTTTAGTTTTAAAATATTTTAAAACTTATGGCTAGTATGTTATGTTAATTGATTCTACCTAGTATATATAATATTAGAGGATGAGATACTTTTTATCTGTGTCCTTTTTGTCATTGCAATATTATTCATTCATCAGTCAGTGGACATTCACCAAGCACCAGTTACTATAATAGTGGCAATAGTAATAATAATAGCAATGATCCTTTACTTTTACTAAATAGTCACTATTTCATTAAATCTAATGCCATTAGTTTTAAAGTGCACATTTCCTTTTCTTTTCGAGGTTGGGGAGGGGCAGAGGGAGAGAGAGAGAATCTTAAGCAGACCCCAACCCCAGCGCAGAGCCCAACGCATGGCTCAATCTTGGGCTCATGAGATCATGACCTGGGCCAAAAGCAAGCGTCAGACACAACCGACTAAGCCACTCAGGTGCCCCTAAAATGCACATATTTAATATGCTGCTGAGAGAGAAAATCTTGACAAATTATTACACACCATCCATCCATTGTAAAATGCACCCTAACTTTAAAAAGGGGAAAACTAATTTTTTGAATTGATGACATAGGGCACCTGACATGTGATTTCATTTAACTATGATCTCATAGTTAACTAAATCCTATGAGATAGGTGCCATCTTTATCCTCATTCTTTTTTTTTTTTTCTTTTTTAAGATTTTATTTTTTGGGGGGAGCACCTGGCTGACTCAGTCAGTAGGGCATGTGACTCTTAATCTTGGGGTCATGAGTTTGAGCCCCACTTTGGGGGTAGACTTTACTTAATAAAAAAAGTTTTTTTTTTAATTCAATTTTTTAAAATTAATCTCTAACCCCAATGTGGGGCACAAACTCACAACCCTGATATCAAGAGTCTCATGCTGCACTGACTGAGATAGCCAGGCATCCCTCATTTCTTACAGATAAGGAAGCTCAGCCCCAGAGAGGTTTTGTAACTTTCCCAAGGTCATGCAAATATCATCAAATAGATCTGAGAGCAAAGATCCTAACTCCACCTTCAACTACTACACTATATATTTTTTTAAAGATTTTATTTACACTATATTGCCTTCAGCCAAAGTGATTAAAACAGTCACTTATTTTCAGTAATTCATAGGAAAGGGAGTCAGTTTAATAATTTATGATATGATAAATTCTTATTAGAGAGATGCATAAGAGAGTATGGGGATGTAGAGGAGATGGTTTAACTGTTTCTGAGGAGGTGTATATGTACCAAGTTCTCTTCTGTCTTTCCTATGACAAGCAGATATTGTAGGTTAAAAAACATGTTTAGGGGACGCCTGGGTGGCTCAATCGGTTAAGCGTCTGCCTTCGGCTCAGGTCATGATCCCAGAGTCCTGGGATCGAGTCCCACATCGGGCTCCTTGCTCAGCAGGGAGCCTGCTTCTCCCTCTGCCTGCCTCTGTCTCTCTCTCTCTGATAAATAAATAAAATCTTAAAAAAAAAAAAACCATGTTTAGCTTCTAACCTTTCTGTGTTGCTGTGGCTGTTTTAATCTTTGATTCTTCCTGGTGCAGCCAAAAAGCAATTCAAAATACCATTACACTCTTTAAAAAACTTGTAATGTCTACACAGTATATAAACATCAAGATTCACTAGATGTGTCTTATTAAAGTGAATTTCTGAAAAAATTAAAAAGTTCAAATTAGGGGCACCTCCTGGGTGGCTCAGTCAGTTAAGTATCAGCCTTCAGCTCAGGTCATAATCCCAGGGTCCTGGGATCAAGCCCAGAGCCATGCTAAGTGGGGAGCCTGCTTCTCCCTCTCCCCCTGCCCCTCCCCACTGCTTGTGTGTGTGTGTGTGTGTGTGTGTGTGTGTGTGAATAAATTAATACAATAAATGAATTAAAATTTTTTTAAAAATTAAAAAATTTTTTAAAAAGTTGAAATTAGCTAAGTAAATGAAATTTAATGTTTTCACAGGTGCTGGAGAAAATTTGGAGAATACAATGGCAGCCTTTCAGCAGTAAGTATATAAAAAGGTATTCTTTTATAGTTTATCTTTGAAGTGATGATTCACAAAGTGAAGATAGTATACATGTTGCATCCACTTGTTACAGTTGTTTCTATTTTATTAAAATAGCTTTTTTTTTTAAATTTAGCTAGTCTGAAGTGTTACAGAGTGTCTGGCTTCTGGATAACTGAAAAACTAGATTAGAGTTGTGGGTAATAAAAAGATACCATAGTTCTAAAGCTGAAAGAAGGCTTTTGTAACAAGGAACACACTGTGTAATGCTAATTAGTCTTGGAGAGAAAGAGAAAAGGAGAAAATGAAACAACTGTTAACATTGGTTGCTGTTTATGAATAGGATTATGTGTCTGCCCTGTAATTCTTCTACAGACCTGAACCTGTGATCTGGTCTTTCTTGTTTGAAGCCTTATGAGTGTTGGTCTTATTTTTTTGAATAAGGTAAATTAGATTATCCCCAATGTTTCAGTTATTCATATCTCCTATAGATCTCTTTTAGAGCACCTCACAGAGAAGCAGCAGGAGAGACAGGAATGAAAGCTGATTGATACCTTGTTCTCTGTCTTAGAGTAAATGATTATCATTAGTCTGTGGTAATGGTGAAAACACTGTTTTCTTTTCCCTGAAAAATAAAGCAGAGGATATGAAAAGTTAAACTCCATGGAAGACATTACCTTTCCATATTTAGTAAGAAAAATGTTTTCTGACACATTTGTTGAACCATTTTTATGCATACAATTGGGACAGAAATCAGAATTTGGCTTAAGTTTTTGTTCTGTTTCTTATCATTTAAAATGACTTAGAATTTAGGGGTGCCTGGCTGGCTCAGTTGGTAGAGCATGTGACCCTGGATCTTGGGGTTGTAAGATCGAGCCCCACCTTGGGCATAGAGATTAATTAAAAATAAATAAAATAAAAATAACAAAGACACCTGAGAGTTTATTTTTCCTGTTATCAGGTCCTAATGTACTGCTTCTCCATATTCTAGTTTCATCTAAATCCTGTCCTCCTGTGTTTGTCATTGCTTATTCTTTGTGTTCTCTAATACAATGCCTTTGACTATAATCCCCAAATTCTCTAAAACCCTAAAAATGCAAAAACGTTCCTCCTGTCTGTGGAAAAAACTTTCCAGATTCTGAAACAAAATAATTTAAATGACTTTAAGTCAAAATAAAATAAAATAAATTACTTTGTTATCTTTTCTACCGAGATCATATATGTAGATATCTTTAGATATCTATATAATATAATATATAAATCTAGATATATATAATGCATATATATATATATAATTTTATTTGTGCAGTTTACATTGAGACACATACACACATACACATACCTCCCCCCCCCGTATACTATGATTTATCAAATATTTGTTCCCTGGGATGTAGTGATATATATTACCTGGGGAGAAAATGCTTATAACTTCAAGTGATTTTAGCATTCTTTATATACATATATATATTTAAAGATTTTATTTATTTATTTGACAGAGAGAGACACAGTGAGAGAGGGAACACAAGCAGGGGGAGTGGGAGAGGGAGATGCAGGCTCCCTGCGATGTGGGGCTCTATCCCAGGACCCCGGATCATGACCTGAGCCAAAGGCAGACCCTTAACAACTGAGCCACCCAGGCACCCCTGCATTCTTTATATTTAAGGTATATTATTTTGTAAGTTTTTCCCCATATTTTTTGTTAAATTTTTACCAACCACCCTTATTTATGAAATTAAATAATTATATAATAAACTGTTTCTAAGAATGGTACATTTGTATAATAAATTATTTCTAAGGAGGGCGCCTGGGTGGCTCAGTTGGTTGGGCGACTGCCTTCGGCTCAGGTCATGATCCCGGAGTCCCGGGATCGAGTCCCGCATCGGGCTCCCTGCTCAGTAAGGGAGCCTGCTTCTCCCTCTGACCCTCCCCGCTCTCATGTACTCTCTCTCTCTCATTCTCTCTCTCTCAAATAAATAAATAAATCTTTAAAAAAAAATTATTTCTAAGGATGGGGTATAAATATTTTTATCTTTGAAGATTTTGATCATCTGAAAAGTTTTTTGGTATTCAGAGAATGTCTTACTTAGATGGTTTTTACTTGCTAGATACATTACATTTCCCATCTTCAGCAGTTTTTTTTTTTTAAGATTTATTTATTTGAGAGACAGCTCACAAGTGTGTGTGAATGGGGGAGGGGCAGAGGGAGAGACTCTCAGGCAGGTTCCTAACTGAGCATGAAGGCCCAGTTGGGGCTCCATCTTGTGACCCTGAGACCTGAGCTGAAATCAAGAATCTGACACTTAACCAACTGAGCCACCCAGGCACCCCTTGATTTAAACCAAAAATTTGTTGGTGGTGGTTTTTGTGTTTTATCTTATGCATCAGCGCTCTTGCTATCAACAAATACTTTTGTTTTCATTTACAACTATTCTATTAGTAGAATATTTTAACTGCTGGGATACTTAGGAGGTTTTTTTTTTTTTAATACCTGCTTCATAAACAACAAGAAAAAAATCATGTAAACATACTATTTTCAAGGTACAGTATATTAAGAATGTGGAGTTATAATACATAATTGGCAAAAGACAGATACTGTGCTTAAGTATGGTATATCATCGATAGGATACTTAGTTGAGGGAGAAATAGTAAAAATAAAATGAGCAGCTAAAACTTAGATCTTATTTATGTGCATGTGTAGATAAGCACTTCACAAAGCATACATATTATGACATGGAAGGGAAAACAAGATACTAGAGAAAGTATAAATAATTGGTGGGGAAGCCTGGTTAAGATTAACCAGGAAATTGAAAAGATACCAGGACTAGAAAGTTATCATTTGGTACAGAGGAAGAAGCAATTTTTATTTTTTTAATTATTTTTAAAGATTTTATTTGAGAGAGAGAGCAAACACGTGGTGGGGGGAGAAGCAAAAGGAAAGGGAGAAGCAGACTCACCTGCTGATCAGGGAGACTGACTCAGGGCTCGATCCTGGGATCATGACCTGAGCCAAAGGCAGATGCTTAACCGAATGAACCACCCAGGCACCCCAAGAAACTATTTTTAAAATGTGAAATGTTTGGGGCACCTGGCTGTCTCAATCCAGAGAACATGCAACTCTTGATCTTGGGGTTGTGAGTTCAAGTCCCATGTTGGGTGTAGAGATTACTTAAAAAAGGGGGGGGAGGGGAAAAAATGAGATGTTTGAGATTAAGATGTGAGGGTAGAGACGCCTCGGTGGTTCAGTCAGTTAAGCGTCTGCCTTTGGCTCAGGTCATGATCTTGGTGTCCTGGGATTGAGCCCCACATTGGGCTGCCTGCTCAGCGGGCAGTCTGCTTCTCCCTCTCCCTCTGCCCCTTCCCCTGCTCATACTCTCTCTCTCTCAAATTAATAAATAAGATCTTTAAAAAAATTTAGAAAAAAAGTAATTAGGACTGAAGAGAAATAATTATATCTCACGATTAATTTCTTCCTTCCTGGGGCGCCTGGGTGGCTCAGTTGGTTAAGCGTCTGCCTTTGGCTCAGGTCATGATCCCAGGGACCTGAGATCGAGCCCCACATCGAGCTCCCTGCTCCACGGGAAGCCTGCTTCTCCCTCTCCCACTCTCCCTGCCCCGCTTGTGTTCCGTCTCTTGCCTTCTCTCTCTCTGTCAAATAAATAAATAAATAAAATCTTTAAAAAAATTCCTTCCTCCTTCCTTCCTTTCTTTCTCCCTCTCTCTTCCTTTCTCCCTCCCTCTCTCTTTTTCTTTCTTTTCTTTCTTTCTTTCTTCTTTCTTTCTTTCTTTCTTTCTTTCTTTCTTTCTTTCTTTCTTTCTCTCTCTCTCTCTCTCTCTTTCTCTCTTTCCCTCTCTTTCTTTTTGTATGTCACAATTTATAAAAAGTCCTGTAATGTGGTTTATAAAATGCTTTCACAAACACCTTAGGTTATGAATATGGCTCTTTTGTGATTCCTTTGAGAGCAAGAATCTTTCCTTATTGATCTCTCAACCCCTAACACCTAGTTCTGATGGTAATAGACTCTCACTAGTTACTTACTAAAGGAGATAATGGAATGGGGCACTCAGGAACAAAGCAGAACATTAACAGAAGACAAATGAAGAAGACAGAACCCCATCCATAATAAGCACAAAACCAGAAACTAAGGAATTGTAACACACACACACACACACACACACACACAGAGTCACTAAGACCTTGAGTATGTAAAATCTAGCTTTTTTAAAAATTTTTTATTTATTTATTTGACACAGGCACAGCGAGAGAGGGAACACAAGCAGGGGGAGTGGGAGAGGGAGAAGCAGGCTTCCCGCGGAGCAGGGAGCCCGATGCGGGGCTCGATCCCAGGACCCTGGGATCATGACCTGAGCTGAAGGCAGACACTTAATCACTGAGCCACCCAGGCACCCTTAAAATCTAGCTCTTAAGAGCTAATAAAACTAGGTTATTAAACCAGGCTGCCTTTGTAAATACCCATAGGACAATTTGATCCCGTGGTATTAACATGAATGGTAAAAGAAACAAATTGTTTTAGCAGTAGCTGGAAGTACAAGTTGGCAGACAGTCAAAGTAATTAATCAGTGACCCGGTTCTCATGATACATTTTTCAGAATATCTAATTAATACAATACTAATTTCTCATCTATGAAATAGGAACAGTAACAAACCTCAGTGGTGCGAGGAATAAATGAGATTCAAATAAATTCCTTAATATAGGGTCTGTTATTTATTTGTTTTTGGATTTACGATTTTTATTTTTTCCAAATTTTTATTTAAATTCTAGTTAGTTAACATATATAGGGACTGTTTTAAATCGTTATGTATTGTTTCTGTGGAATTTCAAGTAATTTCACATCTCTTAGAGCTAGAGTTTTATTTTTTTCTGGTAATGTTGAAGCTTTGGCTTCCCTATTTCTATGTAATCAGCTTGTCAGAAAGTCACCTATATTGGAGCACATGGGTGGCTCATTTGTTTAAACATGGGACTCTTGATTTCTGCTCA